GTGTATCCATATAAATGGCCCACCCTGTACTTCAATCTGGGAATATTACCAACTTTGTGGAGAAAACTCATTGAATTTTGTGGTCTAGGAGGAACATTTTAGACTATTGACATGCACCTGCAACTAAAAAAAAAACATCAGCACTACCAAAGCAGAACAGCTGCACCTCATCCTCTCTAATTGGTGGACTCACCTTGCAGGCCAGGCCCGCCTCATAGAAAGCCTTGTCCGCAGGAACAAGCTCAGTGTGACGCAGCAGAGACACGGAGAGCTTGGTTGCTATACTGATCTGAAAATGCACAGAGGAAGAAGAGAACACTTAAAAAACCCCAAAGTAAAGCTTCCTACATATCATCATCAGTTACCTAGCAGAGGTTTAGATTTGTACCATGACATGGTCTTTTTTTGTCTTGTTCCCTGTTATAATTTAACTGATATTCATACTCATGTTTCTAAGTGTTCACATTTTTCTAGAGTCTCCTCCTGTTTCGTCTATCTGTTTGTTTCTTTGACTTCCACTGTTTTCACTTCCTGTTTTATTTTGGTAATTACCTCTTTGTGCATCCTTCCTGTGCTTTTTTTAAGACTGCCTGGCCAAGTCTCAACTATGTTCACCTGTGCACTTTCAGCTCTGTGTATTTTTAGTTTCTTTTTGTTTGTCTACTTGGTAACTCCCCTCATGGATTCCTGTTTAGCTTAGGTCAGACTATCATTACTGAAGTCTTCTATAATGTCCAGCGGTGTCTGGTTCCTGGTGACATTGTCTTCTTTCCCAAAATGAAAGGCAAAGATCGAGTATACATCACAGATGGTAATGTGCAGGTGGTCAGAAAGAGGCTTACAGGAGGACATCTAAAAATAGAAGAAGCAGTACTGGAAGCATCCAAGGTGCACCAGGAGATGACCTCGGGACCAAAATGAAATCTGGTCACGTTTTTATTTTTCTGAGCAAAGACACAGAACTTTTTTCTTGCAATACATACATGCTCTAAAAACACTAAATAATTTGAACAATTTGAAGACAAATTTTGTCTAAAACTAATCATAAATCAAGTGACCTTTTGTGAGGGAAACATGGCTGTAGGAGTTAGTTTAGATGATATTTTACGATGATTTGTGCGGACAGAAATAAACCAGCGAATAGCGCGGAAGGAGGTGGCAGGCAAATGTTGCCTTGCTGGTCACATTTTCTGCAGTTCACATGGTGGATCTATCCACAATACAAGGTGTTTTCACCTTGTATTGTGGATAGATCCACCATGTTTTCACCTTGTATTGTTCACATCCATCAATTCTCTAACCCAACATCATCTATGCTGTTACCACAAGACTCCAGGCTTCACAGTGCTTTGTTCTATTATTGAATTCTCACCAATTATGAGCAACTTTTACAAAGTCATTTTCAAAGATGTCCTCATTCTTAAATATTCTGTATTTAGGCAGGTGCTGTTTGCGTTTTCATACCAGCTGCTCGACTCCTTTAGCAGCAGATCTTGTGGCGTAGTAGTGAGAGATTAGCAGCATCTGTTCAAAATCTTCATGAGCCGGAGTGTTTGCCTCGGTTGATTTGGACATGTTCTCACACTGAAATCACAGCAAACAAACTTATTTTCATGTTTTTTAAAATGGGTCGATAAAGGCATTTACTAATTTTGATTTACCAGTTGGAAGAAGAAATTGCGGAGGTCGGCGAACATGCGGTAGGACTCTGGTCCATCGGTGTCGGGAAGGTTAATCAGGTCCAGGAACAGGCGTTTGTAGATGTTAAAGTTCTGATTGTAAAAAATGGCAAAGCTTGTAAAAAATAATAAGCAAGAGATGTCTCTTTTTAATCATGTTGTTAAGGCTGTAATAGAAATCAAAATATCTTTTTTTAAAATAAAATACAGCTGCCTTTTCACAGTCAGTTTGCTTTTTATTTGTGTAAATATAATTTCCTAAAGTCACTGATATTATTGTCTATTGAAATAATCTGGAACTGACTGACTCAAGAACCATAAAAATCTGTAAACCAGGGCTCCTAGCTCTTAAGGTAACATAGAGTTTTGTTGTAAATACCGCTTTATAGCAAACAAAAATACTGGCAGTGCCCACTGCTACCCCTCAGCCTTCTAATAGACACACCTATGGTTTAATTAGAAAATCTTGGGTAATTTTCAGAAAACCTGATGTCTGACCTTTACTTTCAAACTCGTCTGAGATTTTGCACCTATGCTGTCAATTTGAAAATCCTATATTGTCTCATTTTCAAGCTATTGCATTCCCAAACTTAGGTGTCCACGCCACCTGCCTGCATAGCAGGGTGACGCCAATACGGCTGAGGGGTAAAAACTGGAGAAGAAATTGGTTTATTATGCTTAAGAAACACTAGCTATTTGGCTTTTGTGGTGCTAATTGAGACTCAAACTGTACATAACAACAAAGTCGACAATCTTGGCAATCAATGCAATCTTGTCGACACTGAACTGCATAAAAACATGTGGGTTGTTTGAAACTATGCAAACATCCCCATTGTGCCAAAATCTTGCACAAAATGCACCACACCCCAATCTGTTTGTGGTCTCTCTATGCTTACTTTATCTTTTCTTTGCCTAACTGGCCTCAGCAGAGAGGCAAAGCGTGAAATGGACATGGTGGACTGGCATGTCTATAACACATTTTGCTGTGATACTTGGTTGGAATATTTATATAATTTCACCTTCTATGAAGACTACAAAACTAAGAGTAGATATTCTACATTAAAGAGGGAAACTTGGGTTATCAGGCAGTGAAAGAAGGATAATGTACCTTTAGGGTACCCACTAGGTGGGAATGGAATTAGCTATAAGAAGTGTGTGTGAACCTGAGGGTTTGGTGGTACTCCGTGCTGTATGTAGAGCTGAACAGCTTTTGGAGCTTCCTTATCCTTGATGAGATGTGTTGCGTACAGAGCAATGTACTTATGGAGGATCTGAAAGGTCTGACAAAACACAACACAAAATTATGAAGCCTGACAGAAACAATGAGGTCAATGAGGCCTGTTAACGAGCAAACAAGACCAAAAAGCACAAGAAAAAAAAGTGTTGCCTCAGCAGAAATAATTGTCCATGAGCGCCCGAATATGCTTCATCTTGTATGACAGAAATGCCCATGCAGGCCTTATTTGTCTGAATATTGCCACAGTTTGGGAATGAGTTTAGCTAGTTCATAAAAAAACTGCACATTAAGGCCCACTGGAGGGAAACATAAATCAACATAAACTACTTAGCTGCTGCAAAGTTGCTTTTCTGTCTGATATCACCGGGGTTGAATCAGGGGGGACTTCGGATGGGACCCACCCAAAACAAGAACCACCCCCTCAGTGCCGAAAAGTGTTCGATTAATGTCTCAAATTAACTTGTAATACAATTTGAGAAAGCTCCAAAGTGGATCATCTCATTTCCAGACATGGACACTTTGGATTCGGCTCTAAGAAGGATTGGAAGTGCTTTCCTGGAGCCTTGCAGCACATTTTTACTGGAGGTAACAACAAATTAGCTGCAGCTAGGACATGGTTAGTCCTCTTTGTTTCTGTTGTGGACGATCTTAAATAAAATTGCAACCACCAGGTGAGCGTGTCTTTGAAGTGAGGTTTATTAAGGAAAAAGAAAAAAAAACCCAAAACACTGCAGTGGAGAAAACATTCAAGTCAAACACCAAAACAGTTTTCTGAGGAAGGACGCCCCCCTGAACTCTTTTATACCTTCTCAAACAAAGAACATTCCCCATCAGATCATATATTCCTATACCTTCAGTCCGGCTCATCCTTGACCCTCTCCCACTCTAAGAAAAGTTACAACCACCGGTCACCGGTCTGACTGTACATGTTGTTTTTGTCCATGCTTTTTCAGCTGGGGCACCTGCCCATCATTATCACCTACCTGCATCATAAAGCTCCAGACCTGAACTCCGCTCAGTGATTGTTTCATCCCATAGTGTAGTACTGGCATCACTTAACCAATAGTTTATCAATTGCTCACTGCTTTGTCTAAAACTCTAACACCTTGACCTCACCTGGTTATCTGCTTTTGCTCTAAAACTGCTTGGGATTTTAGCCCGCTGCCTATATGTGTAATACCTTATCAGAATCACCGGATTCCCTGTAGATTTCCCAGCATCATCGCTCACTCCTACTTCCCAACAAATTTGCACAAAGTTCCTGGTTGTTTGAAGTAACGAGGAATGACTCTTTCCCCTGTGACCTGCTTTAGAGTTCACTTGTTTTAGAACTTTAAAACCCTGATTTGAGCAAAAGTTGTTTGCTTAACAACCCGAAAAACAAAAGAGGTGACAATATAATATGAACTCTTAATAACATCGAACAAGACATACCTGTTTGGATGCCGTCTCCAGGCACTTCTCCCACTGGCCTCTTTCTGCGTAGATGTCCAGGGCCGCCATGACATCCACTCCCACCAGCTGAACGAACACAGTCATCAAAAATAAAAACAAACTGTTTTTTCACCTCTAAGAAACACAGCATGAAACTTGAAATGAGACCATTACATTTTCTGTCTTTCTCTGCTCATATTTATCAAATGGCACAGGCAAACAACTCGGAGGACATGTAGGGCTCCACAGAGCAGTGAAATGGTGCAGGAAATACAGCAATCATTGTAAAATCATCTCAGTGAAACGTAACAAATTCTTATTCTGGGAGGAACATACTGCTGTTTACTACAGAAATGGATCAAATGAGAGATATTTATCTCTTTTTGCTTTATATAAACGTTACAAAACTTTATTTTTCTGGACCAAACTGCTTGGAATGATTTTGGAAGCTGAATTTTGTCATAATTGGGTCAATATTAGCTTGATAACATGTCAGCTTTTCTTTTTTTTAAATTTGTTTGGTTCAGGGTGTCATAGAGTGTATACTTGTACTTACAGACTCCACTCTGCCCTGGTTTTTAAGGTGCTCCTTGTACTTCTGGTCCACGTAGTCCTCATACCTGTCAAATATCAGATTCATAGGAAACAGGGCAGAGAGGCACGCATGCTTAATAAAACTGATATGACATTGAAAAAATAACCAGCATGTCTTCGTCTTTCTGTTCGCTTCTTCTATTCTGAGTTTTAATTCAATGTCGGCCCTTGTCTTTGTTGCTGTTCTGCCCGTAATAACTATGATACACTCGAGTGTTTGTGTGCTCTCAAACCTCGGCTCCAGCTCCTTGGCGACTCTCTTGGCTTTGTTCCACTCCTCACCCTCAATAAAGACATCGATTGCCTCTTTGATGAGGTCCATGTTTAAGTAGAGCTCAGCAGCCTTCAACAAGCAAATACGAACAGGACAGGAAAGAGGCAACTGGTCAGATATTAGATGCTTGGACATTATAAGAGCATATATATTTGGATTGTAATCTTGCACAAAATGCACCACACCCCAATCTGTTTGTGGTCTCTCTATGCTTACTTTATCTTTTCTTTGCCTAACTGGCCACAGCAGAGAGGCAAAGCGTGAAATGGACATGGTATTACGGTGTATCCATATAAATGGCCCACCCTGTACTTCA